TCCGTATGTGGACTACTCTAATTGGACAGAAGTAGTCCGGAAATGTTCTCTCAAAAGTAAGGATTTACCAAGAATTTGATATTAGCAGCCAGTGACAAACACGGCCAAACAAATACTCGGACTGTAGTAATCTGAATATGATGCAGAAAATCATGTTGATGCATTTCCCTTTCCCAGGATCAGTAGGCCCTAGTTCAGGGTTCTCCAACTCAGGGTCCAGAGGTGTAGGCCTACAAGCTTTTATTCCAGCGCATCATTAAGCATCAGTTGTCAGAGCACCTTACCCATCACTTCACCTGTACACAGCCCATCTGAAATTAGCCCACCCAACTACCTCATCCCCATATTGTTATTTATTTTGCTCATTTGCACCCCAGTATCTCTATTTGCACATCATCTCTTGCTCATCTATTATTCCAGTGTTAATACTAATTGTAATTATTTTGCACTATGGCCTATTTATTGCCTTACCTCCATAACTTGCTACATTTGAACACACTGTATATATATTTTCTGTTGTATTTTTGACTTTATGTTTTGTTTTACCCCATATGTAACTCTGTGTTGTTGTTTTTATCGCACTGCTTTGCTTTATCTTGGCCAGGTCGCAGTTGTAAATGAGAACTTGTTCTCAACTGGTTTACCTGGTTAAATAAAGGTTAAATAAATAAAATAAATAAAAATAAAAAACACACCTTGTTAAAATAAAACTTAGCATGATATTTAGTCTGGGCCATAATTAGCTGAATCATAGGGCTGTCATTAAAATTACTAAATTAGCAAAATAAAAAGCCATCGACTATTTACTGTAAACTATAACAATATACTTTGACATGGGATACTGAACAGGTTGGATATTGTCTATGTAAAGTCTATGTACCAGCATAGATTGTGATCCACACTCTGGGTTTGCATACCTAGCCACAGCCAGTATTTACATACATTAGTATGACCAACAACAATGAGAGTGACTGGACCCCAGCAGCATGCTCATATTTGCATGCATGCATTCACCTCACCTGACCTCACCTGACATCATAATTTGATGTGAACAAAGGCAGCATTTCTTTGTCAAACCAAGTGATGCAAAGCAATCACAGGCAAACTACTATGATGGTGTGAAGTATGTCAGCGAAGGGCACTAGGTTAAGATGACACCCCACTGTGTTTATTAGGGGGCATTATTGTAAGCTCATTAAACAGGACTGGCATGTTTAATCTGTTGACACTTCTTAATGGAGGCCTCCAGTGGGACAAGGCCGATCCTGTTGTCAGTTATAATTCTATCCACAGTTCCGAGTCAAGTTTCCTTCTAGAATTCACAAGCAATCCATCTGGCACAGGGATGGACCGCTAACTGTGGCTGTCAGCACAGTGGAGGCTGGTGGGAGGAGCTATAGGAAGACAGGCTCATTGTATAGGCTGGAATGGAATAAATGGAATGGAGTCACATGTGGTTTACATATGTTTAATACCGTTCCATTGATTCCATTCCAGCCATTACAATGAGCCGGTCCTCCTATAGCTCCTCCCACCAGCCTCCTCTGTGTCTGCAGTATATTGAGTTACACTACATGACTAAAAGTATGTGGACACCTGCTCGTCGAACATCTCATTCCAAAATCATGGACAATAATATGGAGTTGGTCCCCCCTTTGCTGCTATATCAGCCTCCACTCTTTTGGGAAGAGTGGAGGCTTCGACCCCTGGTATTATATAAACACACATAAGACATGGGAAAATTCATATAATTGCAGGAAATTAGCTTTAAAACAGCTAAAAAAATCTCTTCCCCATGCAAAATGTGTAGAATTGCTGGAAATTAGCTTTAAAACTGCAACATTTTCTCTCGGCCAACAAGAGGGGTGTGAACAGTTTGGGGTCGCATGGGTTGTCACCAGCCTCCAGTATGAAAAATGTATGCACTCACTAACTGTAAGTCGCTCTGGATAAGAGCGTCTGCTAAATGACTCAAATGTAAAATGTTGCGAGGTGGGGGTTTGTTACTACGCCGATAAATTACATTATCCATCCGGACCCTTGCCACCTAGGACATTTCTGTGACCGGACCTTCTCAAAAAGTACTTGAGTACTCCTGCACTAGATGTTGGAACATTGCTGCGGGGACTTTCTTCCATTAAGCCACAAGAGCATTAGTGAGGTCGGGCACTGATGTTGGGCGATTGGGTCTGGCTCGCAGTCGACGTTCCAATTCATCCCAAAGGTGTTCGATGGGGTTGAGGTCAAGGCTCTGTGCAGGCCAGTCAAGTTCTTCCACACCGATCTCGACAAACCATTTCTGTAAGGACCTCGCTTTGTGCACGGGGGCATTGTCATGCTGAATCTGGAAACGGCCTTCCCCAAACTGTTGCACAGAATCGTCTAGAATGTCATTGTATGCTGTAGCATTAAGATTTCCCTTCACTGGAAATTAAGGGGCATAACCCGAACCATGAAAAACAGCCCCAGACCATTATTACTCCTCCACCAAACTTTACAGTTGGCACTATGCATTGATATTAGACTTGTGTGTGGTTGCACTTACAGTTGACCGGGGCAGCTCTAGCAGACATTTCATTAATTTACTTGTTGGAAAGGTGGCATCCTATGACAGTGCTACGTTGAAAGTCACTGAGCTCTTCAGTAAGGCCATTCTACTGCTAATGTTTGTCTATGGAGATTGCATGGCTGTGTGCTCAATTTTATACACCTGTCAGCAACGGGTGTGGCTGAAATAGCCGAATCCACTAATTTGAAGGGGTGTCCACATACCTCTGTATATATAGTGTATATGCTATACCCAGAGGGAGGAATGAGAGGGGTGGGGGGGCTGAAATTACCATGGGTGAATGCCCCCTTCAAGTCCCCACGCTATAGTCAAAGCTAAGACATGGGTACAGCGAGTGACAAGTCCCCTTATTCACATCAGCATTTATAGACAGAGGTATTCAGATTTGTGAATGGGAGAGATATATTCTAAGGATGACCTGTCAGTTGATTTATCATTGATTGTTATCCATCCCCTTTAGTAGGCTGTTACTAGTCAGACAGAAATACAAACAAATATCAATAATCTTCAAATATTGTATTGAAGACATGCTCCGGAACTTTGGTGACTACTAAGTATTTTTAAACCTCCCGCTTTGAGCTGGATGTGTCAATGTGTAGTTCATATATGCATAATCTATGAGCAGAATTACTGTTTTACCTTAATTAGCCATGAAATCCCTAGTTTGAAAGCGACTGTTTTTCTGAAAAATGTGGTATTTTCCCTACATTTTCCCCAACATGCGCCAACCCCCTAGCAATTCAAGCTGAGGAGTATTTCTGTCTGTAATAAAGCCCTTTTGTGGAGAAAAACTAATTTTAATTGGCTGGGTCTGGCTCCCCAGACGGGCGGGCCTGGCTGCCAAGTGGGTGGGCCTATGCACTCCCAGACCCACCCATTGCTGCACCCCTGCCCAGCCATAGATTAGAGCCTAATTTATTTATTTCAATTGACTGATTTCCTTATATGAACTGTAACTCAGTAAAATCTTTGAAATTGTTGCATTTATATTTTTGTTCAGTATAATTTATGGAAGAAATAGAGGTGTTACACAGAGGTGTTACATAGAGGTGTTACAAAGAAATAGACTTCACCAAAGTACAATATGCAAGAAAATTATGCTTGACTAGTTCACCCTGCACTGTCCTGTCTGAACAAGAGGCCCAGTTGAATTACAAAACTGGCAAGCTCCTTTACCCAAGGTCGTGGCTGTTGTTTCCCAAAATAGCTGAGTGCAGCTGCGTCCCAAGTGCAACACATTGTACGCTGTTATCTTTAGACACATAAACGGTGTTCGAATACTCATACTAACCTCACTAACATTACTATTTGTGACGTAAATTGAGTATGTAGTATGCTTATTGGTCATAGTATGGATATAGTTAGTATGCCAAACGTTCCCGGATGTCGTACTAACTTCGCCAAAATACGAAGTATACAAGCAGTGGACACTATTTCCATGCTTTTAGGGCCCATAATGCAATTCTTCAGGAAATGGGCATGGCTTCACAACATTTTCAGATTTCAAGAAAATGGCAGGAAATACGCAGCCAAAGTCCGACGAGAGCGTATACTATTTAATTGCTTTAACTAATTATGACAAATGTTAAGAAAATGTTGAGCAATGTAATAAAGTAATGACTTTTCAAATAAGTTACGTTGGCTGACAATTTGTTAGCTACGCTATCCTTACGAACCGCAGCATGTACCGCTATGTTAGCTAGCTACCTAACGTTATTTGGCTACTAATACATCGAACTTGCCAGTATATTAACTATATGTCATTTTTTGTTTAGCTTAGTGGTATAGTCGTTGTGTGTTCTCAATGGTCATTGTTAATTCACTCTGGCTATCTACTCCGATTTCAGAGCACTCTCGTCTGGGTGTGCCAGAGCGCAGAATAACTGATTAATTCACGAACGGGCGCTCAACACTCTTTGAATATGGCTGGTGTCAGTAAACGTCGGCAAAAAAGCATAATTAAATTGTTGCCAGCAGCACAGTTGCAGTCACCAACGCTCTGGATAACATAACTGCCTAACCAGCTCTGCTAGGGCGAGTAAAATGGTCAGTGTGGTGTTCTCACATTTGTGTCTGGAAGTAGTTAGCTTGGGTGCTTGACTGCCGTTGTGAGGTCAGAACGCTCGGATCAACCCTACTCCTCCGCCAGAGCGTGCAGTGTGTGCTCCGAGAGTGAAATGCTCAGAATTTACGAACGGACAATCTGACAACCGCTCTGAATTTACGAACGACCAGAACACACTCCAGATTGAATTTTACGAACACACCCGAAGTCGTAAAATGTCTAGCTAGTAATTTGTCTAGCAAGAGGTTGCATAGCAACAGCATCAACTTCCGGTAGACAGGCGAAGCACTAGTACGCTCAACTGAAAGGATACCGTTCGTTTACAGTATACTAAAATGAACTAATAGTATGTAGTATACAGTATGTTAGTATGGGTATTCGAACACAGCTATAGATTCAAGCTTTATTCTTAAAGATGTGTCAAAATGGAGGCTGTGGATTTGTTTAAATTCAGAGGGCCAGAGAGAGTTAAACTTCTTATCTGGCTGAAACCTTCTGGTACATGTGTTCTTTTGGTTCTGGATTCATCAGGCAACTCACAATATCGTCACCGGAAAGGTGTTCCTCACAGGAGATAAATCAGTTAAACTAAAAACTACTTTGGGATTATTTACAGAAACAAATCGCTAACTAAACGAGGAATAACACAGATTGGATAAATTGAATCCTTTTAACTGTAGGCGATGAAAGCAGAGTAGTTTTGATACATGAAGAGTAATTATCTCACCTAAAAATAGATATAATGCATGACAAACAGAACAGAATAATTAACTATAACTGGCGAACTTTAGTACAGTAGTTAGATGAGTGAGAAGTCCTGGTCATTGTGGTAGAGCTTAGTGTACCAGAGTTGGCCCTGCGTTGATATTCTCCTCGTCCTCACAGCACTAGCCTATCCTCACCGCCCTCCTGGATGACCTGGCCAATGGAGGCTTGGCTCTGGGCCCTCAGGAAGCACTGGCGCTTGCACTCCATCAGCTGTTCCAGGTCGTGCCACATCTTCACCTGCTTCATGTTCGGCCCATGGCTTTCCCTCACACTCTTCTGCTGCTCACGCAACTTCTGTTGTTGTCCAAAGGGAAAGACTAAGAATTAATATGTCAGCCCAACATGCATACAGTGTATGATCAGCATTGTTAAATGGCCTTTTTCATTATAAGTTGCAAGGCAAGCCATGACATCCTTTTATAAATGAACGAGAAGCTTGACCAACCAAATACCTATTACTTAGAGGAATTAGCATCTAGCCTATTCATAACCCTAAAAAAGAAGTAGCTTGTCACGAATGTGACAGGGGTGGTAGAATGGCGCCGGAAGGGATGGCTGCCGTTTTATAGACTCTTAACCAACCGTGCTATTTTGTTAGATTTTTCGCATTGTTTGTAACTTATTTTGTACATAATGTTGCTGCTACCGTCTCTTATGACCGAAAAGAGCTTCTGGACATCAGAACAGCGATTACTCACCTTGAACTGGACAAATCATTTTTCTTTAATGAGTTGGATGAGAGGGATTTGCTTCAGACACCTGACAGGGCCTTCATCCCCGTCATTCTCAGTAGAAAGAAAAGGAGATATCGCGGAAGGAGATATCGCGGAAGGAGATTGGGGTGCCTGGTAAGGAGCCGGCGACAAGTGGCTAATCTGCCTTTGCCATCGATATTATTGGCCAACGTACAATCGCTTGATAATAAAGTGGACGAACTACAAGCACGTATATCTTACCAACGGGACATTAAAAACTATAATATCTTATGTTTCACCGAGTGGTGGCTGAACGACGACATGAATAACATACAGCTGGCGGGTTATACACTGTATCGGCAGGATAGAACAGCAGCCTCTGGTAAGACAAGGGGTGGTGGTCTATGTATATTTGTAAACAACAGCTGGTGCACGATATCTAAGGAAGTCTCTAGGTTTTGCTCGCCTGATGTAGAGTATCTCATGATAAGCAGTAGACCACACTATCTACCAAGAGAGTTTTCATCTATATTCTTCGTAGCTGTCTATTTACCACCACAAACCGATGCTGGCACTAAGACCGCACTCAATGAACTGTATACGGCCATAAGCAAACAGGAAAACACTCATCCAGAGGCAGCGCTCCTAGTGGCCGGGGAATTTAATGCCTAATTTCTACCAGCATGTCACATGTGCAACCAGAGGAAAAAAAACTCTAGACCACCTTTACTCCACACACAGAGACGCGTACAAAACTCTCCCTCGCCCTCCATTTGGAAAATATGACCATAATTCTATCCTCCTGATTCCTGCTTACAAGCAAAAACTAAAGCAGGAAGCACCAGTGACTCGGTCAATAAAAAAGTGGTCAGATGAAGCAGATGCTAAGTTACAGGACTGTTTTGCTAGCACAGACTGGAATATGTTCCGGGATTCTTCCGATGGCATTGAGGAGTACACCACATCAGTCACTGGCTTCATCAGTAAGTGCATCGATGACGTCGTCCCCACAGTGACTGTACGTACATACCCCAACCAGAAGCCATGGATTACAGGCAACATCCGCACTGAGCTAAAGGGTAGAGCTGCCGCTTTCAAGGAGCGGGACTCTAACCCGGAAGCTTATAAGAAATCCCGCTATGCCCTCCGACGAACCATCAAACAGGCAAAGCGTCAATACAGGACTAAGATCAAATCGTACTACACCGGCTCCGATGCTCGTCGGATGTGGCAGGGCTTGCAAACTATTACAGACTACAAAGGGAAGCACAGCCGCGAGCTGCCCAGTGACACGAACCTACCAGACAAGCTAAATTACTTATATGCTCGCTTCGAGGAAAGTAACACTATTCTTTCTTAAAATTGCATTGTTGGTTAAGGGCTTGTAAGTAAGCATTTCACTGTAAGGTCTACTACACCTGTTGTATTCGGCGCATGTGACAAATAAAAAAAAAAAAAATGTGATTTGATTTTTGGAGAAATGTACAGTACCAATCAAATGTTTGGACACACCTACTCATTCAAGGGTTTTTCTTTATTTTTACTATTTTCTACATTGTAGAATAATAGTGAAGACATCAAAACTATGAAATAACACACATGGAATCATGTAGTAACCAAAAAAGTGTTAAACAAATCAAAATATATTTTATATTTGAGATTCTTCAAAGTAACCACCCTTTGCCTTGATGACAGCTTTGCACACTCTTGGCATTTTCTCAACCAGCTTCATGAGGTAGTCACCTGGAATGCATTTCAATTAACAGGTGTGCCTTGTTAAAAGTTAATTAGTGGAATTTCTTTCCTTCTTAATGCGTTTGAGCCAATCAGTTGTGTTGTGACATGGTAGGGGTGGTATACAGAAGACAGCCCTATTTAGTAAAAGACCAAGTCCATATTATGGCAAGAACAGCTCAAATAAGCAAAGAGAAACGACAGTCCATCATTACTTTAAGACATGAATGTCAGTAAATTCGGAACATTTCAAGAACTTTGAACGTTTCTTCAAGTGCAGTCGCAAAAACCATCAAGCGCTATGATGAAACTGGGTCTCATGAGGACCGCCACAGGAAAGGAAGACCCAGTTACCTCTGCTGCAGAGGATAAGTTCATTAAGAGTTACCAGCCTCAGAAATTGCAACTCAAATAAATGCTTCACAGAGTTCAAGTAACAGACACAACATCAACTGTTCAGAGGAGACTGTGTGAATCAGGCCTTCATGGTCAAATTGCTGCAAAGAAACCACTACTAAAAGGACACCAATAAGAAGAAGAGACTTGCTTGGGCCAAGAAACACGAGCAATGGACATTAGACCGGTGGAAATCTGTCCTTTGGTCTGATGAATCCAAATTTGCCGCTGTGTCTTTGTGAGACGCAGGGTAGGTGAACAGATTATCTCTGCATGTGTGGTTCCCACTGTGAAGCATGGAGGAGGTGGTGTGATGGTGCTTTGCTGGTGACACTGTCAGTGATTTATTTAGAATTCAAGGCACACTTAATCAGCATGACTACCACAGCATTCTGCAGCAATTCGCCATCCCATCTGGTTTGCGCTTAGAGGGACTATCATTTGTTTTTCAACAGGACAATGACCCAACACACCTCCAGGCTGTGTAAGGGCTATTTGACCAAGAAGGAGAGTGATGGAGTGCTGCATCAGATGACCTGGCCTCCACAATCACCTGACCTCAACCAAATTGAAATGGTTTGGGATGAGTTGGAAGGAAAAGCAGCCAACAAGTGCTCAGCATATATGGGAACTCCTTCAAGACTGTTGGAAAAGCATTCCAGGTGAAGCTGGTTGAGAGAATGCCAAGAGTGTGCAAAACTGTCATCAAGGCAAAGGGTGGCTACTTTGAAGAATCTCAAATATAAAACATATTTTGATTTGTTTAACACTTTTTTGGTTACTACATGATTCCATGTGTTATTTCATAGTTTTGATGTCTTCACTATTATTCTACAATGTAGAAAATAGTAAAAATAAAGAAAAACCCTTGAATGAGTAGGTGTGTCCAAACATTTGACTGGTACTGTAGATGAGTGTAGATGAGGTCTAGGACAGAGCTAGGGTAGAGAGAAATCAGCATGCAACCCTCCAGCTGCTCCACAGTGATGAGAGGATGGACATCTTGTTATACAAGCTGCACCTATACTGGTGTGCAGTGGCGGTCGGTGCCGTTTAAGACAAAGGGAGGGGGAAAAATATTATGGGCCTTATTTCTATTACAGCATATTATGTAAGTCTATGGAAGGGGGTGAGAACCATGAGCCTCCTAGGTTTTGTATTGAAGTCAAGGTACACAGAGGAGGACGGAAGCTAGCTTCCCTCCGGCTACACCATGGTGCTACCCTAGAGAGTGCTGTTGAGGCTACTGTAGATCTTCATAAAAAACTGTGTGTTTTAATCAATTATTTTTGAAGTGAATATATTTAGTATAGTTTTATCTAAAAAGGATGAGTTTAATGTTTCAAAATTTTTATTTTTATGAAATTCACTGAGGAGGTTGGTCCTCCCCTGAGGAGCCTCCACTGCTGGTCTGCTGCAGCAGCACGTCTACATTACAGCTCGTTTACTTGGCCAAGTGGTTTAGCAGGAATGCAGCTGAGCCCCCTCTGCCATACCCTTTCTCCTCTCTGGCCACATTCTTATCAGGGTGAGGAAGGAAGGAACCCAAAGTATGGCCCCCGTGTTTGCAGGGGATCCATTTCAGATACCAGTGCAGCACAGGATTGGCACTGTGCCTGCACCCTGACAAAGCACCTCTCTGCTCACCTTGCCCAGGGACTCCTGCTCTGCAATGTTCTTCATGTACTGCTCCCTGTGAAACAGCCAGAGGGTCAGAGTTCATGTGAGCTTATTCACTTTTGCAAGCTCAATGCTGCTATTATGACATCACTGTGAGTTCTACAAGGGAAAGTCTACCTGGTAGTTGAATAACACAACATAGCAAACATCCATAACATATTTTATTAAACCAGTATTATAGTTACATATTTTTCTATAGCAAAGCAATACTTCTGGACACACTTGGAAATGCATAGCTATAGTATTAAGACCTATGAGGGTGAATCTACTAACAGACTGCTGTAATTGTGTCCTTTGAGGTATAGGGGGAGGTGGGTGGCAACAGTAGTATATGCACACGTTGTGTTGTAATATTAGCATATGCACCTGGTGACTGCGGTAATAGAAGTCCTAAGCAGCTGGCAGACTCACCTGATGGTCTTCCTCCTCTCTTGCGGATCAGGGGACACGTAGGCCTTCATCTCCTCTGCTGCTCGCTGCATTTGCATCTCAATGATCTGTGAAGAGAGAGAGAGATGGGCAGAGAGAGAGAGAGAGCTCTGGTTTACGGTCACAGCACAGAACAGGTGTCGGGGGAGAGGTTGTTTGCTACCTGAACCCCTTACCTCTTTCATGCAGTTGATGTAGTGGTATCGGTTTTCCTCCTGAGCCATCTCCTCCCTCAGAGCTCTCACCTCCTGGAATGGAAGTGTTGAATGAAAACATGTGACCATAGGAAACTGAAGCATCAGGCCTGAAGCGTCAGACGCTTGTTGCCATGGCAGTACTGAACTGTTCCTTGTGCAGAGTACATTCCAATTATGTAAATAGAGAAGATTTGATATGTGGTGATATGCTGATATGTTGGGTGTGTTAGTAGATAGGCCAGGTGTCTACACATAGCATTCATATTGTACCTGCTCCAGTTTGGATCGGTTACTCTCCAGCCCTGCAGCACAGCTGTCATACTGGGCCTTCTTTTCCTCATACTCTTGAGTTAGCTCCTGTCATGAAATAAATACCCATTCACAGATACATGAACACAAAGAAATACCCATTCACAGATACATGAACACAAAGAAATACCCATTCACAGATACATGAACACAAAGAAATACCCATTCACAGATACATGAACACAAATAAATACCCATTCACAGATACATACCCATACATGGGACATTTCTACAGCATTTAAAAAGACAGAGTACAATTACAACACTTTTCACCATTATAGTATGTTATGTATGCAAAAGTTATAGTTTCCCCAACCCATTTCATATCATTATCAGATCAAAGCCCATGTATTTGCACCATTTTACTTAAGCCTAAACTCTAGCTGAGTATATTAATATATTTCTGACGTAACTTTTCATCATTAGTAAATGTTAGCTAGTATGATGGTCAACCAACTCAGGGAACACATGCTGGAAAATCTGATCCCCAGCTTAAGCTGAGAGATGTGAGGGGCTTTCCCTGTCGTACAGTATACATATAGACTATGTGTAAATTATTGTTAATGGACTCCACAAAAATCCTGCATGAAGTCAACAGTAGCTGGCTGAGGCCTCAAGGGTTTCCTCCCTTCGTTTGTCAAATCCCTTGGCCTCATGTCATGCTTTGTAATCTGTGGTTATACATTTGGCTAATTAGATTTAGATTTCAGTCATTTAGCAGCAACTTACAGTTAGTGAGTACATACATTTTCATACTTTTTCATACTGGCCCCCCGTGCGAATCGAACCCACAACCCTGGCGTTGCAAACGCCATGCTCTACCAACTGAGCTACACGGGACCTAATTCTATAGACACAGCTCTGTGTAATGACGCAATTTGAAGATGAAACTGCAGACAAAGTTTTATAGCGTGTGACGTTCACCTGACACTGCTGTCTCAAAGGCCTCAGTTCCTTTATGATCGGAGCAAGGGCAGACTTTTTCTCCACTATCGTCGAGTTCAGTTTCTTCACCTGAAAAAAAAGCATCACATATTTCAACCCATCTGCCAACATCCTGATTTGGTGGTAAAAGTAATCCACAGAAATGTCAGTTAAAGATAACTATGACCATAATAACATATAATAATCATTATGTCACCTGTGTTGTACACAAGCAGGGGCCTTACAGGGTGTGCATTCAGAGGCCAAACAGGAGGTGAGTGAAAGTCTACTTTATGGCTACAGCCAGGAATGTTTGAATCATTGGCAGCAGCACAAGTGTGCAAGCTGCCAGCTTTAACCACAAGCCCTGACTACCCTTTAAATCATTTCAAAAACATATTGGACTGGGGCCTAATCGGCTGCAACTGGTTCTATTTGAACTTCAATGCAATGGGATGACATATTGATAAAGCAGAGTGATTTGGTGATCCAACCTGGCTTAAAACTCAGCAATTACTCTTCCTTTCCCCACAAAAGGACAGATTAAGTATGCACGAGTGGTATTTCAAAAGGTATCAAGTCACTAAATCAATGCGAATAAATCAATGACAACCAAACAGGACTAGGACGGTTCTGGTAAAACAAATTGTGCTGTGTTTGTGTAGCGCATTAGAAGGGGCATCTGAATGCAATGAGCATGATCCTGTGACTGAGTATGGGTGGTCTGGAGTGGGTAAAGATCTGTCACTGTGGTAAAGTGACATGCTACTCAGACAGTGGCTCCGATCCCCTGATATAGTCACCATTTCTGACATGTCGTCCAGCGAGCGCCCCTTCATCTCGTCCAGTTCACTCTTGATGGCTGACACTCTCTCCAGTTCCTCCTGAGTGTCACTGTACCCAGAGATCCCCTTCTGTGCCTCCATGGATTGCTACACGGACCACAATAAGAGCATGAGAGGGCATATGGGGTGACACATCAGTAACTACACAAAATATGAAAGCCTTGTAATACAGCAGCATAAAATGATGAGATTGTGTCCAGTGTTATAATCCTGAGGCAAATGTCAGTGTAGGGACTGGACCTGGCAAGAGTTCGCTAGAAACACCTGGCACTTGAGCAATGTAGTCCACACCCACATGAGCTGCAAGGCAGTAAGATATTTTAATGAGTGTAATCAGTAAATACAAGTTAATAATTTGCAATGAGTAAACCTCCATGTACTGTATACAGTGGCTCACCTGACTTAATTGTTAATGATTTGTTTGCACCATGTCAACAAACGTAAGCCTATAGCTATGACTTGTATAGCCCTTACTGTCGGGCAGACTGTATCGGAACATGAGGTCTGATACCAACAGACTACAAGCCATCAGACTGCTGAACACTTGAACTAGACTGATCACCTGCACTGACTCTCCGCACCTTAGCACACATGCACACACCCACACATCTATTCATGCTACACACACACACACGTCACAACTGCACAATTTAAACACTTACCCCCAATCCCCTCTTCCCTGATACATGTGTAAATATTGTTCTATAAATTGTGCCTTCCTGTGTAATACTTATGCTAAAATGTACTATTCTATTCTACTGCCATTGACTTTATGTTTGTACTCATATATTTTCTTATTGTGGTTGCATTGTCGAGAAGGAACCTGCAAGTAAGCATTTTGTTGGACGGTGTTTACCATGTGTATCCTGTACATACGACTAATAAAACTTGGAACAGTGACTGAGTTACTCCCTCCCTGTCTGGGAGGATATATAGTAGCATGGAGCCTAGTCCTGAACTGACCCATAGCGCCTGTGCTCTAAGCACTGTGAAGGGTTGTGTCCACAAAAACAGGCAGGGGTCAGCTCAACACCTGGGAGTAGAGGCCACTTTGTTCTCCAAGAATAGAAGATTACATGCGGTTGAGATAGCAGCACGTGTGTATATGAGGAGTGAGAAATCTGTGATCTATGAAAATTAACACAATTTCCTTCCCATGTAGCACCCATCCCTCTCCTGCAGATCTGTTCAAACACTGATAAAGACAATGTAAATTACATTCTAATATTTGGTTCTGATATGAACAGTTCACAGTGGCAGGCAGGGCTTCTAGCGAGTTTTGGGTTATACAGTAGGCTATAACCAACATTGTTGCAGCAAATGGTTCATAGTTCTATGTGGGAGGGGTAACAGTTGGACTGGGGTGACTGGGTGGGTGAGTAATGGGAACAGGAATGCAGGTGGCGAGAGGAGACGGGGCTCAGACACTAACAGCCATGGTACGAGGGGGAAATACATCCACTGATAAAGAAATGCCAGCGTCAGACACAGAGAGAGGAGCAGATGCAGCAGCCGAGCCCTCACTGTGTCAGCCAGGCTGTCAGCAAGTCAGGAGCTGGGAGGGCACCGAGGTGTGAAGTCATTTCCAGGAAGGTTATGTCACGTCACTGTTAATGCACGTTGCATGATCAAGGGCAGGATGGAAAGGTATGTGTCCCACTATACACGTAGATTGGCTTCTATGCGGTATGGAGGGGAGCAGGTAGGGTGTTAGGGTGGATTGCTGCTTTGGTGCATAGTTACCAGTTGCTGTTGGCCGACCTCGTGCCTCTGTTTTAGGATCTCCTCTGTCCGCTGCAGGACCCCATACTCAGCTCTCAGCTCGGTGATCTCCTGCCGCTTCTTCTTGAACACTGTCCCCTTGCTGCGCAGTTTCCCGACAAAACGTTTAAACTGGGAGGAATCGAGAGAGACTATTGTCATGAAAGATATGCTGCGAGAAAGGGAATGATAGACAGAAATGACAATAACATTTAATTTATTTGTTTGAAAACAAACAGTAAATACACAAGGGAAACCACATCTTGAAGCAAGGTCATCCTCTTCAGTTTCTACCGAGACAGACATGACCCATGTCTGAGAGAGTGAGTTGGGGAGTGTGAAAGAGAGAGAGAGTTACTGTAATGTGGCTTAGTATCCAGCAGTGATGGAACCATGTAAAATGCTCTTGGAGAAGACAAATGCTAGGAGGCGAGGCAGTGCCGGGGGTCGAGGTGCCTCAGGGACATACAGTGGGGGAAAAAAGTATTTAGTCAGCCACCAATTGTGCAAGTTCTCCCACTTAAAAAGATGAGAGAGGCCTGTAATTTTCATCATAGGTACACGTCAACTATGACCGACAAAATGAGAAAAAAAAATCCAGAAAATCACATTGAAGGATTTTTAATGAATTTATTTGCAAATGATGGTGGAAAATAAGTATTTGGTCAATAACAAAAGTTTCTCAATACTTTGTTATATACCCTTTGTTGGCAATGACACAGGTCAAACGTTTTCTGTAAGTCTTCACAAGGTTTTCACACACTGTTGCTGGTATTTTGGCCCATTCCTCCATGCAGATCTCCTCTAGAGCAGTGATGTTTTGGGGCTGTCGCTGGGCAACACAGACTTTCAACTCCCTCCAAAGATTTTCTATGGGGTTGAGATCTGGAGACTGGCTAGGCCACTCCAGGACCTTGAAATGCTTCTTACGAAGCCACTCCTTTGTTGCCCGGGCGGTGTGTTTGGGATCATTGTCATGCTGAAAGACCCAGCCACGTTTCATCTTCAATGCCCTTACTGATGGAAGGAGGTTTTCACTCAAAATCTCACGATAGATGGCCCCATTCATTCTTTCCTTTACACGGATCAGTCGTCCTGGTCCCTTTGCAGAAAAACAGCCCCAAAGCATGATGTTTCCACCCCCATGCTTCATAGTAGGTATGGTGTTCTTTGGATGCAACTCAGCATTCTTTGTCCTTCAAACACGACGAGTTGAGTTTTTACCAAAAAGTTATATTTTGGTTTCATCTGACCATATGACATTCTCCCAATCCTCTTCTGGATCATCCAAATGCACTCTAGCAAACTTCAGACGGGCCTGGACATGTACTGTCTTAAGCAGGGGGACACGTCTAGCACTGCAGGATTTGAGTCCCTGGCGGCGTAGTGTGTTACTGATGGTAGGCTTTGTTACTTTGGTCCCAGCTCTCTGCAGGTCATTCACTAGGTCCCCCCGTGTGGTTCTGGGATTTTTGCTCACCGTTCTTGTGATCATTTTGACCCCACGGGGTGAGATCTTGAGTGGAGCCCCAGATCGAGGGAGATTATCAGTGGTCTTGTATGTCTTCCATTTCCTACTAATTGCTCCCACAGTTGATTTCTTCAAACCAAGATGCTTACCTATTGCAGATTCAGTCTTCCCAGCCTGGTGCAGATCTACTATTTTGTTTCTGGTGTCCTTTGACAGCTCTTTGGTCTTGGCCATAGTGGAGTTTGGAGTGTGACTGCTTGAGGTTGTGGACAGGTGTCTTTTATACTGATAACAAGTTCAAACAGGTGCCATTAATACAGGTAACGAGTGGAGGACAGAGGAGCCTCTTAAATAAGAAGTTACAGGTCTGTGAGAGCTAGAAATCTTGCTTGTTTGTAGGTGACCAAATACTTATTTTCCACCATAATTTGCAAATAAATTCATAAAAAATCCTACAATGTGATTTTCTGGATTTTTTTTCCTCAATTTGTCTGTCATAGTTGACGTGCACCTATGATGAAAATTACAGGCCTCTCTCATCTTTTTAAGTGGGAGAACTTGCACAATTGGTGGCTGACTAAATACTTTTTTTCCCCACTGTATCTGTGACCTGAAACAGTAACCTGATCCTCAGGCACACAGCCAGACAGAGGGAGCAAACATCTTCTTCATCTGGAAAACATACCAACCGTTGGCCCACTGGAAGCGGCACTCAACCCGCCCTCCCCCTTTCTCTGTAGGGATACAATGAGACTCCTGTGCATGTCAACATTTATTCCTTCTGGAGAATCTCAGAAATCACAGAAAATGTCCTGTAAGTCACTTGGGGCATGCACGGATTGTGCGCAAGAATGTATGGTTTGTTTTATTTCTGGACATCAAGGGCAGACAAGGTTGAGAGGGAATTAGCAGCCAGAATAAGGCTGCGTAGCATTCCCTCGTCACATACAATATGTCCCCAAAACAACAGCTGCTAAATTAGCCAGCACAACTTTGACAGGTTTGAACTATTTATCATGACACTGTGTCAGACACACACACACTCAGGACAGGAGGATAGTTCTTGAAAATGCAGCACATTGGGATAGTTAAGCAATAAGGCCCGAGGGGGTGTGGTATATTGTTCTTATGCACAACGCAACGTGGAGTGCCTGGATACAGCCCTTAGCCGTGGTATATTGGCCATATACCACAAACCCCTGAGGTGCCTTATTGTTATTATATACTAGTTACCAACGTAATTAGAACAGTAAAAAGTAATTTCTTGCCATACCCATGGTATACGGTCTGATATACCATGGCTTTCAGACAATCAGCATTCAGCGTTCGAACCACCCAGTTTATAATAGATAATGAAACATTATGCACATACAGTATATGCACTGTGCATATTTATAAATAGCAGTATCCTACTATATGTGAAATCCATTTTGGCAGGGTGAATAGCTTTTCCAGACTGAGCAAACACATCTGTTATTTATGTTGGGGGAATTTGGGGTGTAAGTGAACAGAGAGCAGTATGAACACCTGCTCTTTCCATGACTGACTGACCAGGTGAATCCAGGTGAATGCTATGATCCCTTATTGATGTCACTTGTTAAATCCACTTCAATCAGGGTTGATGAAGGGGAGGAGAGAGGTTAAAGAAGGATTTTTAAGCCTTGAGACAATTGAGACAGGAATTGTGCATGTGTGCTCAGAGGGTGAATGGGTAAGACAAAAGATTTTAGTGCTTTTGAACAGAGTATAGTAGTAGGTGCCAGGCGCACCGGTTTGTGTCAGAACTGCAACGCTGCTGGGTGGTTTTTCATGCTCAACAGTTAAAAAAAAAAATGTGTATCAAGGATGGTCCACCACCCAAAGGATATCCAGCCAACTTGACACAACTGTGGGAAGCATTGGAGTCAACATGGGCCAGCATCCCTGTGGAACGCTTTCGACACCTTGTAGAGTCCATGCTCTGATGAATTGAGGCTGTTCTGATGGAACACTAGAAACATGGTGGACTAGTTTGTAGTGGGTGTAAAAGCAAGCTAACTGAGGATGAGCAGTTGCTGGGTGACATGTGATGACACGTAAGCAGCATAATGGAAAATACCTCTGATATGGTGCTCATTTCCACCATGACCAATGGACCCCAGGAGAGACTGATAAGCCCAGTGTGACTAGACCCTTTCCATTTACCATAAATCCCCTGACTCCCCCTCCCTCTTTTTCTCACCTACTGTTACCATACTGAGAAGAAGTCAGGTTTAGAGTTTCCTTTCACATCAAACACACTCACTCATTATCCAGAGGAGCAGATGAAACCACCCACATTGAACAGCGCATGGAGGAGAGCAAGGAGAAAGTGGATGCTATTTCAGACATGCAGCTCCTGTGCTTCACCAGCCTGTCCAGCTGTCAGCGCAATGTTTTCACTGAGTGTGGAACGCCTGCCCAGAAACCACTCAGACATGAACATATGGGTGCAGTACATGCCCTATCCATCAGCTACCACCAACTATATAGACCTGTTAATGGCCAAAGGTTGCTCTGCAAACAGGAACAGGCTTAGTCTGAGATGTGAAGAGTGGTTGTTCTCTTGATCCTTGATTTTACAGAGCCAGGCACAGGGTGTGTTGACACACAGGACTGATGGCTCCTGGCACCGTGTTGCAGAGGCAAAAAGGCACTCAAATTTGAGAGTCCTCTCTCTGCCAATGGTTTATAGTGATCTAACCAAACATGGCATCAAAGCATGCATGGCTCTCGACCTTCGCCTCTCCGAAGTCCGTAGGGGAGTTGCAGCGATGGGACAAGACTGTAACTACCAATTGGACATCATGAAAAAGGGGTAAAAAAAATATCTCTGTTTTCTTTGCGGTAACACAGCCTCCATAGATGTCAAAGTTAGTTGAAGGATTTACATTGAAATGGTTTATGTGTTTTGCTGAATTCATTTAGAATATTTACACAAGAGATAAAAAAAATACATTTCAGACAGTTTGTTCAATACTGTCCTGGTTCCGGGTAGTCCCTGTTGTGGTCTATTTTTAACCTTGCATGGGAATGTGGGAGAGTGAGGGGAACAGAGATAAGTAGCATTAGCCTGTGAGCCCCACTATGTTTACATAAGAGCAGAAATAGCGTCTCATGTTCACTGGGGTGCACAACTACCGCACGTCACCCTTATCAACAAAGTTTGTGTCGGAGTAGACGTAAGCAAACAGTAGAATGTTTAATCAATCTACCCCTAAAGATGGAAAATATATTATCTCTGATGCATTTTGCTTTATCTTCTGAGAAAGTTTGGATAGTGATGTTCAGTTTTGAGTGGTTACTGAGCAGATTGTATATAGGGGTAGCAGTCTTTCTGCTGCAAAATTCAATACATCACTCGACAAAAAAAAAGGTATCTGACCCTATTCCACAGACATTGACTGGTGAGGAAGAAGATTACTATTGATGTGGATGATGATGTTCAGACAAGAGTATTGAGCTGTGAGAGGCGGTTAGTTACTGTAATGTTACCTCGTCTCCCCGGATGACTTCGTCTCCGTCCTGGTCTCGTGCCTGGCTGTTCTTCTGGTTCAGCTCTCTGTCTAGTGCAGCTAGCTCCTCCCGCGCCTCATGCAGCTCCTCCGCCTTCGCCTCCTTCTTACGAGTTATAATAGACGCCTGAAGAGCCACACCAGTCATATTACAGATACAGTCAATACAGACACAACCAGTATATATATATATATATATATATATATAAATAAAACGCAGCAAAAAAAGAAACGTCCTCTCACTGTCAACCGCGTTTATTTTCAGCAAACTTAACATGTGTAAATATTTGTATGAACATAACAAGATTCAACAACTGTGACAAACTGAACAAGTTCCACAGACATGTGACTAACAGAAATTGAATAATGTGTCCCTGTGAAAATCAAAAGTAACAGTCAGTATCTGGTGTGGCCACCAGCTGCATTAAGTACTGCAGTGCATCTCCTCCTCATGGACTGCACCAGATTAGCCAGTTCTTGCTGTGAGATGTTACCCCACTCTTCCACCAAGGCACCTGCAAGTTCCCGGACATTTCTGGGTGAATGGCCCTAGCCCTCACCCTCCGATCCAACAGGTCCCAGACGTGCTCAATGGGATTGAGATCCGGGCTCTTCGCTGGCCATGGCAGAACACTGACATTCCTGTCTTGCAGTAAATCACGCACAGAACGAGCAGTATGGCTGGTGGCATTGTCATGCTGGAGGGTCGTGTCAGGATGAGCCTGCAGGAAGGTTACCACATGAGGGAGGAGGATGTCTTCCCTGTAACGCACAGCGTTGAGATTGCCTGCAATGACAACAAGCTCAGTCCGATGATGCTGTGACACACCGTCTCAGACCATGACGGACCCTCCACCTACAAATCGATCCCGCTCCAGAGTACAGGCCTCGGTGTAACGCTCATTCCTTCGACGATAAACGCGAATCCGACCATCACATTTTACATTTTAGCAGACGCTCTTATCCAGAGCGACTTACAGTTAGTGAGTGCATAATATTTTTTTTTATACTGGCCCCCCGTGGGAATCGAACCCACAACCCTGGCGTTGCAAACGCCATGCTCTACCAACTGAGCTACATCACCCCTGGTGAGACAAAACCGCGACTCGTCAGTGAAGAACACTTTTTGCCAGTCCTGTCTGGTCCAGCGACGGTGGGTTTCTGCCCATAGGCGACGTTGTTGCCGGTGATGTCTGGTGAGGACCTGCCTTACAACAGGCCTACAAGCCCTCAGTCCAGCCTCTCTCAGCCTATTGCGGACAGTCTGAGCACTGATGGAGGGATTGTGCGTTCCTGGTGTAACTCGGGCAGTTGTTGTTGCCATCCTGTACCTGTCCCACAGGTGTGATGTTCAGATGTACCGATTCTGTGCAGATCCACTGCGAGGACGATCAGCAGTCCATCCTGTCTCCCTGTAGCGATGTCTTAGGCGTCTCACAATACGGACATTGCAATTTATTGCCCTAGCCACATCTGCAGTCCTCATGCCTCCTTGCACCATGCCTAAGGCACGTTCACGCAGATGAGCAGGGACCCTGGGCATCTTTCCTTTGGTGTTTTTCAGAGTCAGTTGAAAGGCCTCTTTAGTGTCCTAAGTTTTCATAACTGTGACCTTAATTGCCTACCGTCTGTAAGCTGTTAGTATCTTAACGACCGTTCCACAGGTGCATGTTCATTAATTGTTTATGGTTCATTGAACAAGCATGGGAAACAGTGTTTAAACCCTTTACAATTAAGATCTGTGAAGTTATTTGGATTTTTACTAATTATCATTGAAAGACAGGGTCCTGAAAAAGGGACGTTTCTTTTTTTGCTGAGATATATATATATATATATATATATATACACACACAGCTGTGGAAAAAATTAAGAGACTTTTTTCTTAAATTAGCATCTCTACATGTATGACAGCCATTCCATTTCAGTGTCTGTTGAATTCCAACACAGGCACACCTCATTCTACTGAATTAGGTACTGATTAGCTGATCACATTAACCAAATCTTATTTAACGAGGTAAAGTATAAATACCACTGCTGTGGTCATCACTATCCTCTTGCAATAGGACCAGCTGGATGGCAAAAACAGTGCTAATAGTACCTCAAAAGTAATATTAATAAAAAAAAGAACTATTGACCATACCAAAAGAGTTGAAAAGGAACGTTTTGAGTGAGGAAAAGAAGGGGTCAATTCTGGCTTTACTGGCAGAGGGATACAGTGAGCGTCAGGTTGCTTACATCCTTAAAATTTCGTGCAAAAGCCCTTCATCAATGAGAAGCAAAGAAGAGCCAGGCTGAGGTTTGCAAAAGACCATAAGGATTGGACCGTAGAGGACTGGAGTAAGGTCATCTTCTCTGATGAGTCCAATTTTCAGCTTTGCCCAACACCTGGTCGTCTAATGGTTAGACGGAGACCTGGAGAGGCCTACAAGCCACAGTGTCTCGCACCCACTGTGAAATTTGGTGGAGGATCGGTGATGATCTGGGGTGCTTCAGCAAGGCTGGAATCGGGCAGATTTGTCTTAGTGAAGGACGCATGAATCAAGCCACGTACAAGGTTGTCCTGGAAGAAAACTTGCTTCCTTTTGCTCTGACATTGTTCCCCAACTCTGAGGATTGGTTTTTCCAGCAGGACAACGCGCCATGCCACACAGCCAGGTCAATCAAGGTGTGGATGGAGGACCACCAGATCAAGACCCTTTCATGACCAGCCCAATCTCCAGACCTGAACCCCAGATCTGGAATGTGATCAAGAGGAAGATACATGGTCACAAACCATCAAACAAAGCCGAGCTGCCTGAAGCCGAGCTGCCTGAATTTTTGCGCCAGGAGTGGCATAAAGTCACCCAACATCAATGTGAAAGACTGGTGGAGAGCATGCCATGACGGATGAAAGCTGTGATGAAAATTAGGATTATTCCACCAAATATTGATTTCTGAACTCTTCCTAAGTTAAAACATTACTATTGTGTTGTTTAAAAATGAACATGAACGTATTTTCTTTGCATTATTCGAGGTCTGACAACACTGCATCTTTTTAGTTATTTTGACCAGTTGTCATTTTCTGCAAATAAATGCTCTAAATGACAATATTTTTATTTGGAATTTGGGAGAAATGTTGTCAGTAGATTATAGAATAAAACAAAAATGTTATTTTTACCCAAACACATACCTATAATAGTAAAACCAGAGAAACTGATAATTTTGCAGTGGTCTCTTCATTTTTTTCCGCAGCTGTATATACACAGTACCAGTCAAAAGTTTGGACACACCTACTAATTCCAGGGTTTTTCTTTATTTTTACTATTTTCTACATTGTAGAATAATAGGGAAGATATCAAAACTATGAAATAACACATATGGAATCATGTAGTAACCCAAAAAGTGTGAAACAAATCAAAATATATTTTAGATCTTAGATTCTTCAAAGTAGCCACCCTTTGCATTGATGACAGCTTTGCACACTCTTGGCATTCTCTCAACCAGCTTCACCTGGAATGCTTTTCCAACAGTCTTGAAGGAGTTCCTACATATGCTGAGCACTTGTTGGCTGCTTTTCCTTCACTCTGCAGTCTGACTCATCCCAAACCATCTCAATTGGGTTGAGGTCAGGTGATTGTGGAGGCCAGGCCATCTGATGTAGCACTCCATCACTCTCCTTCTTGGTCAAATAGCCCTTACACAGTCTGGAGGTGTGTTGGGTCATTGTCCTGTTGAAAAACAAATGATAATCCCACTAAGCGCAAACTAGATGGGATGGCGTATCGCTGCGGTAGTCATGCTGTTTAAGTGTGCCTTGAATTCTAAATAAATCACTGACTGTCACCAGCAAAGCACCCCCACACCATCACAACCCCTCCTCCATGCTTCACGGTGGGAACCACACATGCAGAGATCATCCATTCACCTACTCTGCGTCTCACAAAGACAAGGCGGTTGTAAACAAAAATCTCAAATTTGGACTCATCAGACCAAAGGACAGATTTCCACCGGTCTAATGTCCATTGCTCGTGTTTCTTGGCCAAAGCAAGTCTCTTCTTCTTATTGGTGTCCTTTAGTAGTGGCTTCTTTGCAGCAATTCGAACATGAAGGCCTGATTCACGCAGTCTTTTCTGAACAGTTGATGTTGAGATGTGTCTGTTACTTGAACTCTGTGAAGCATTTATTTAAGCTGCAATTTCTGAGTCTGGTAACTCTAATGAACTTATCCTCTGCAGCAGAGGTAACTCTGGTTCTTCCTTTCCTGTGGCGGTCCTCATGAGAGCCAGTTTCATCATAGCGCTTGATGGTTTTTGTGACTGCACTTGAAGAAACTTTCAAAGTTCTTGACATTTTCCGGATTGACTGACCTTCCTGTCTTAATGTAATGATGGACTGTCGTTTCTCTTTGCTTATTTGAGCTGTTCTTGCCATAATATGGACTTGGTCTTTTACCAAATAGGGCTATCTTCTGAATACCACCCCTACCTTGTCACAACAAAACTGATTGGCTCAAACGCATTAAGAAGGAAATAAATTCCACAAATTAACAAGGCACACCTGTTAATTGAAATGCATTCCAGATGACTACCTCATGAAGCTGGTAGAGAGAATGCCAAGAGTGTGCAAAGCTGTCATCAAGGCAAAGGGTGGCTACTTTGAAGAATCTCAAATATAAGATATATTGATTTTGAACACTTTTTTGGTTACTACATGATTCCATATGTGTTATTTCATAGTTTTGATGTCTTCACTATTATTCTACAATGTAGAAAATAGTTTAAAAAACAAAGAAAAACCCTGGAATGAGTAGGTGTGTCCAAACTTTTGACTGGTACTGTATATATATATCAATTTATTCTAATTCGCACAAAATAACCAAGCAGAACCTGCACACATTTCACAGGTATAGAAGAGTTCAGGAGATAAGGCTATCGCAACAGTGTGTCTACCACAAACCACAGCTAGGAAATCTTTGGTTAATATAGTATTTTGCCAAACCAGAGCAGTTGATCCTCTATTATCTGCCTCACTATAGCAAAAGAGACAACAACAACAAAACAAAGTATTCAAATATCAACATGATAACATTAATAAATCTGTTGATGATAAATAAAGTTGCCTCACTTCATCAGACAACATCAATCATCCACACAAGTTCAAAGAGCCAGCAAACGCTTAACCACACACAAACAGCCAGCTCATACAAATTCATATAACTGACAAGGAACCGTCTGATTTAGTATCAATGATAGAGAATGGCATTCTGAAATTGACACAAAATTCATCCTACATAATTGCTGGTGTTATGTCATATAATAACGCTACTGTATCTCTAAAGAATGTGATAATAGAAAATATGAAACAAATCACCTGTTGCCTGAAAAGAGACAGTTTATCATCCATGGGGTCGTTTCGCATCATTCTTTTCTCAATCAGCAGGTTTATTTCAATGTTGTTTTCTCGAATCTGGACAAAGTGGGGAACAGTCAGACTTAAACTTTCAATTTGTCATAAACAATCTTTTTGGCTATTGTCAGCCATTCTTATTGTAATACGTGTGAACCAAATTTACCAAACTTGCAAGGCTCTATAGCTTAATTGCCCAGGTAGGTAGAGATATCTCACCTTGTCCTCTAGTTCCCCAAGCTCAGCTTGGCCCATGGCCGGCTCAGACACCACTTTCTGCAGGTACTGCACCATCCGCCTCTTACTCTCCAGCTCCTTGGGCAGTTTGTCAGACACCATGTAGGAGTTGAACTTGATCTCCTCTTCAAGCCTCTTCATTAAGCCTGAGACCGTGACAGAGAGAAAGCTCGTTCTTACACCTTTGATCAGGATACCTCATTCTTTGAAACACAATGAGGCACACCTGCTCATAGAAGAAAAGGAGGGTGATATGCACATCCTAAACGTGAGACACCTGTTCATCATTATAATTTAAATTAGACAAGATCAAGAGCGTATGCAAAACACTGTCTAAATTAACCGACTCAAGGTCATGTAACCTCAACATAGATCGTGCTCTTACATGCTGCTGTTGAGCTCTGATGCAGGAGTAGGCCTATACGAGACCAAAAACCTTTACAAAATAGTCACATTAGGAAATGTTTTAATATGTGGTATTTTGAGTCATTGAATTGTCAAATGCTTTGTTGGTGTGCCATCCACCAAGGTCTCATGTCTGTCTTTCTTTGCTTAGGTCATTTTTGAAACTGTAAATGTGTAAATCTCCTGTGTGATTGTAAAAAGGCTACCAGTAGATGAGGACAAAAAACGAGGAAAGTCCACATATGGTGAGCTCTAATGGAGCACATCAAAGATCAGCATGATTACAGGGCCTTAATACATGTGAATCAATTAACAGAGATTCTGCCTTATCTGCTGTGTCCTTGACCTTTCAACCAGCTGTGGCGTTGAGGGTGATGCAGAACATGCCTACTCACTCTCTGGCTTGGCATCTGCTGCTGCCTGACGCAGGTCCTTCAGCTGCTGCTGAGATCTCTGCAGTCTCTGTTCTGCCTGGAAAAGCTGGACATATCCAAATGACAACACACACTTATCAGCATCTAAACCAACATCATGCTTATAAATCTACTTGTAGGTGAATTTGGAATATCTAATTGACAACAATCTCTGATAATATGTAGACCTTTACCCAAAAGTCTTCATCACTTATTTGTACTCTGTATGCAGTAACGTTGATCATATGGGTAACAAAGCCTGTAAATTGGAAAGTTAGACAAAACAGGACTTAAACTAGACTAAGAAAAGTCAATTCATTACTTGGTTCTTCTGCTCTTGCTTCTGCTGAGCCAGAGACTCTTCTCTCTCCTTTTCCACCCGTAGTTGTCTGGCCAGTTCCAGCATCCGCTGGTGGTTGGACACTGACTCCACCTGGTGGACACATAAGAAACTGTGATACTGTGCCAGCATCTGAGATTGAGTTTCACCGCACACGACCGCCAGGAGCCACTGCCACGGACTCAAGTTTCCCCTTCTGGCATGGCTTAAAAGTATGACCCACTAAATTATCACTCCATTACCCATCTGCCCTGTAAAAGGGTGAAGCATTGAGCCTGTCAGATGCCTGCCTAGTCTCATTACCACGAGGAATCTGTTGGCGTGTATGAGAGGTCATGTTTTCATTACTCTGTGAATCCCTGTGAGTTCCAGGCATTATGACAGGGTGGGCTTCCTCAAACAGACTGCCTGCCTGCCTTACCCTCTTCTTCAGCCGCTCCACTCGCTTGATCAGCTGGTCCTTCTCCTCCTCCATAGCACCAATGTCCTGAGGTTAGGGAAAAGTTTGTGTTTTACATTTTACATTTTAGTCATTTAGCAGACGCTCTTATCCAGAGCGACTTACAGTTAGTGAGTGCATACATTTTTCATACTGGCCCCCCGTGGGAATCGAATCCACAACCCTGGCGTTGCAAGCACCATGCTCTACCAACTGAGCTACAGGAGGGCTGTGTCTAGCACTGTGTCTGTGCACATATCCCCATCTATGGCTTAACTTAAGAGATTTCCATATGATACCTATTGATGAGTGGAAAACATAAAATGTTAAGGACTTGTTTGCTCCCGTTTTTACCTTTCTGATCTCTGCAGTGGAAAAGCCAGAGCTTTTCAGTTGCTCACACTCCTTGTGGTAGGTCTTGAATCCTTCCACTAATTCTTCATACTACAAAAACAACAGATCAAACACTATGAAACTATGAATGACATGTCTCAGTTATGCATCACATAGCATCTGTCTGACCCACAGTGACCTTTAAATAATAAAATAATGGTTTTAATCATGGCATCATAGTGTGATCTCTTTAGTCTAGCAAGAGGAGGAGCCATGATCCCATGTTAAATGTTATGCTGCATTCATATCCAAGTGGGAAGGTGGTATTTACCACGTATGACTAGGAAAAATCCACTTGAACATGCCTCCAACTGGTAATTACAAGTGGGAAACTCGTCTATCATCCCTGAGCTCTGACTTCTCCCACATGCTGACATCTGACATCACCTACTGAGGTAGAACAGCATTTTCGACAGTTAAATGAAACAGCAAACAATTATTTATAAAAAGCAATCTATTAATATGTTTTTTGAACACTATAATTTGTTTACAAGCATGATAGCTGTACTTTTAGTTTATGGTTGATGCAGCTTGTTGGCAATGAGCCAATACGTGTTTCTGAATGAGTTCAAAACACGTGAATGCATCAACTTCCCACTTGGTTATGAATGCAGCATTATGCTTGCACCTTGAAGTCAATGGGCAAATTGTTTTAATGAACTTGCCCAATGTTAAACAAACCTGGTGATAGGTGTCAGTGATGACATCATCCTGCAGGAACTCAGAAGGCACCTCCAGCTTAACCAGGAAGCGAGCCAAGTAAGCTCTCTTCTTCAGCTCTGTGATCCTCTGCAGCAGCCAGTGAAGGATAGGGTGTATCACAGGCTTACTGCCAGTCACCAGGCCCTGTCTGAAACTGCTCCTGTATTAAAAGAGAGAGGACAGTGAGAAGTAAACACTCTGTGTTCTAATGCTGAAATCTGCTTTGATTTATGTAAATTACTTACATCAGAAGAATACTTACGGATCAGACACATTCCCAGGTGGTTTGTATTTCAACATCCCCAGCAAAGTGAACATTCTCTTTGCTGTCTGATCAGGCATTTCTTCACGGATATCAATAGTTTGCTGAAATAAATAAAATATGATTTACAAGTTATTCACACATTTCACACACACTTTCGGTGACTGGTAAACACAATAGTAGTGGGGCAGGTGTCATCATCAAGATAATACAATTTTAGGCATAATATAAACTGGGACAACTATATACATCATTGGACAACTCGTGATCAAGTATGAGGTTGTTGTGTACATTGAAAAACATAATTTGTCTCACCTTAGGGTCTATTTCGGCCAGAACATCGTTGAGAATTTGCAGCAGTTGCATTGGCTCCAGTGAGTCAAAGGTGATCAGGTTAAAGTTTTTCTTGAAGGGGTCTTTATTCAGGTACTCAACAATAAATTTAAGTTGCTCGCTCATCTTGAAATCAACTGGTCAGCTAATGTTATTGCGAGGTAAATAACTTTAGCTGCAAGCTAGTCAAGAGGAGTAGCTAGCAAAAAGTAAGAATCAACCTTAGCATTAGCTTGCTAGCTATTTACTAGCCTAGCTACCGTTACTTTACGAGGTGGATAGCTTGAAGCATAGCTAGCTACACGCTAACAAGCCAGTTCGTATGCACAACGTGGCCAGCTGGCTTGTCCCTTTGTTTATTTCGAGGAAAACTCGTTTTAAACCGGAAAGACAACGTTTACAGTCACAAGGCAATCCGTCTTGGAAACCAGACACAAACGTCCTCGAGCTGGTTGCTAACAGGAAGTATTTCGGCTTGTTCAAGAGGGTCAGCCTGCAGTTGGTACATGCCTGTGGAATTTGCTGCGCAAGATTCTGCCACCAGCACGTGCACAACACAGTCCACAAGCAGAGTTGCACGCGGGTTCCTGTCTGTCTGGATATCTCTTTTGTACCAGTAGATGGAGACAAATATCGATATTTCAGGCGGTTTGTAGCCTGCCTACCGCAATACAACATTTCTGTTTTTAATCATACAAAATGGCAATAGATTAGTCTACATTATTACTTACATAATATAGATAGACCATATAATCATATTTTCCAGAGTTGTTTTGCAGCTTGGCTTTATATTTTGTTTTCTTGACGTGCCTGTGTCTTTAAAACCGGACACATCAAAGTCCCTCCCTCTCTTTTCAGCACCAACTCAATAAAGAAAATGACCAAAACACACAGTAACCGTAACCAGTGTGCGATCCGACGAGGTGTATCACATGTCTAGTGGATTTAAGTTTAACGAGAGAACATTCAAACTAACTTTCAATCGGGTGCGGAATAACGAATTACCGGTAACATGAAAAACAGGAATTACACTGGAAATGTTTAATTGTTCTTGGACTTTCACTAAATCATTGAATGGAACTTCTGGATAGGACAGTGCTCCTGCTTTTACGATGAATGAATAATCATTACAGAAGGACACTTATTCTTTGTCGTTTTGAGAACAGGCATCATGTCATTCTCAGTGGTGCCCGTAAGCACTCGAGCTGACTATAGTATCATGTTGCATGTTAACTATACTTTTTTTGCATGAGTCTTATGAAAAATGTATTCAGTCAGGTGAAGTGTGGAAATAGCTTTTAATGCCCATTATAAGTCATGCTTTAGAAATTATTTTGATTGGAAACGTATCATATAGTTTAGTAGACATTTAGTTTCTACTCTACTACTCTAGTCTTAGTGGACTAGGTAAAACAAAAACAAAAAAACAATGGTTGAACCAGTAGGTTTTGTGGAGGCTTGGAAAGCCCAGTTCCCTGAGTCAGATGCCCCAAGCATGGAGCTGAAATCATTGGGTGATATTGAGCAGGAGCTGGAGAAATGCAAGGCATCTATCAGGCAGCTGGAGTTAGAGGAAAACAAAGAGCGCTTTCAGATGATCTACCTGCAGACGTTACTGGCCAAGGAGAGGAAGGCTTATGATGGGCAGAGATGGGGCATCAAGAAGATGTCCCTAATGAATATTGGAGACCAATCCAGTGTTTCAGACACCCAGACATCCCACTTAGATGAGCCTACAGTAGAGGAGCAGCCGAGAGAGGCAGTCGACACAGGGAGATATAAACAGTATCCAGAGGGAGAGGTAGATGGGGTGTCTCCCTCCAAACAGAGGGGTGGGTTGTCCCTCCACATGCCTACAGTGGACCCCCCAGACACAGATCTGGACAGGGACAGGGTGGGCATGAGCTCAGTAGCAGCACTGAGGTCCAACTTTGAGCGCATCAAGAGAGCCAACTCTCACACGGCTGGAGATGGGAAAGGGGTTGGAGGGACAGAGAGACCCTTCTACGTGAACATGGAGTACCACCATGAGAGAGGCCTAGTGAAGGTCAATGACAGGGAGGTCTCAGATAAAATCAGCAGCCTGGGCTGTCAGGCCATGCAAATGGAGCGGAAGAGGTCCCTGCACTCCCTGCCCGGGAACCTGTCCACTGCTATGGGGGACATCCGCAAATCTGTCCTCAGATGCAGGTCCACAGAGGGCGGCTGTGGCTACAATGGGCTGTATGATGATACAGAGGTGAACCCACATTTCCTCAAGGATAGTGTGATCCGTTCCAATGGGGGGAGACAGCCGGCAGACTGTCAACCCTACACCAGTGTGTATGTCGGAGGGATGATGGCAGAGGGGGAGGGAAGGGTCCTTCACATCGGGGACCACAGTGTGGAGGAGGACTCCCGCCTCAACTGGCCAAGGCACTCCTACTCACCTGGCAGTTTTGACGATGTTGGGGGCGGCTACACCCCAGACTGCAGCTCCAATGAGAACCTAACGTCCAGCGAAGAGGACTTCTCCTCCTGTGGCCAGTCAAGTCACATGTCCCCAAGTCCTACCACCTATCACATGTACAGACAGAAAAGTCGCTCGCCTTCCCAGATTTCCCAGCAGTCCTTTGACAGTAGCAGCCCGCCCTCCCCCCTGTCTCAGAAACGTCTGAAGCAGCAGGTGTTGGTGTCCGAGGCCTCGGTCGTGGGTGTCCGTAAAACAGGCCAGATCTGGTGCGGGGATGGGGACTCCACTACGTCCAGTAGGACCTCGCATGACAACAGTCTCCATGGAGTTCTGGGTAGGTCTACAAGGCCATAGTCTCTATACTGTTATTTTGTACTCAACAATATTTTATTTATATTTTATGTATAAAAGCACAATAACTATTTATGCATCCCCAGGGCTCAATAGCCACTGCCATTTCATGTGTTTATTAGAGATGCCTGTACTTGCCCAAACCTTGATCTCTCCTCAGGCAGCGATGTGCTTATACAGTGCCTTCGGAAAGTATTCAGATGCCTTGACTTTTTCCACATTTTGTTATGTTACAGCCTTATTCTAAAATTGATTAAATAAATAAAAATCCTAATCAATCTACACACTACCCCATAATGACAAAGCGAAAACAGGTTTTTCAAATTTTTTGCAACTGTATTAAAAATAAAAAAACAGATACCTTATTTACATAAGGATTCAGACCCTTTGCTATGTGACTCGAAATTGAGCTCAGGTGCATCCTATTTCCATTGATCATCCTTGAGATGTTTCTACAACTTGATTGGAGTCCACCTGTGGTAAATTCAATTGATTGGAAATGATTTGGAAAGGCACACACCTGTCTAAATAAGGTCCCACTGTTGACAGTGCATGTCAGAGCAAAAACCAAGCCATGAGGTCGAAGGAATTGTCCGTAGCGCTCTGAGACAGGATTGTGTCGAGGCACAGATCTGGGGAAGGGTACCAAAACATGTCTGCAGCATTGAAGGTCCCCAAGAACACAGTGGCCTCCATCATTCTTAAATGGAAGAAGTTTGGAACCACCAAGACTCTTCCTAGAGCTGGCCGCCCGGCCAAACTGAGCAATCGAGGAGAAGGGTCTTGGTCAGGGAGGTGACCAAGAACCCGATGGTTACTCTGAAAGAGCTCCAGAGTTTTTCTGTGGAGATGGGAGAACCATCTCTGTAGCACTCCACCAATCAGGCATTTATGGTAGAGTGGCCAGACGGAAGCCACTCCTCAGTAAAAGGCACATGACGGTCCGCTTGGAGTTTACCAAAAGGCACCTAAAGACTCTCAGACCATGAGAAACAAGATTCTCTGGTCTGATGAAACCAAGATTGAACTCTTTGGCCTGAATGCCAAGCGTCACTTCTGGAGGAAACCTGGCACCATCCCTACGGTGAAGCATGGTGGTGGCAGCATCATGCTGTGGGGATGTTTTTCAGCATAAGGGACTGGAAGACTAGTCAGGATTGAGGCGAAGATGAACGGAGCAAAGTACAGAGAGATCCTTCAAGAAAACCTGCTCCAGAGAGCTCAGGACCTCAGGCTGGGGCGAAGGTTCACCTTCCAACAGGACAACGACCCTAAGCACACAGCCAAGACAATGCAGGAGTGGCTTCGGGACAAGTCTCTGAATGTCCTTGAGTGGCCCAGCCAGAGCCTGGACTTGAACCCGATCAAACATCTCTGGAGAGACCTGAAAATAGCTGTGCAGCAACGCTCCCCATCCAACCTGACAGAGCTTGAGAGGATCTGCAGCGAAGAATGGGAGAAAATCTCCAAATACAGCCGTGCCAAGCTTGTAGTGTCATACCCAAGAAGACTCGAGGCTGTAATCTCTGCCAAAGGTGCTTCAACAAAGTACTCTGTAAAGGGTCTGAATACTTACACTACCAGTCAAAAGTTTGGACACACCTACACAAATCAAAATAGATTATTCAAATAGCCACCCTTTGCCTTGATGACAGCTTTGCACACTCTTGGCATTCTCTCAACCAGCTTCATGAGGTAGTCACCTGGAATGCATTTCAATTAACAGGTGTGCCTTCTTAAAAGTTAATATGTGGAATTTCTTTCCTTCTTAATGTGTTTGAGCCAATCAGTTGTGTTGTGACAAGGTAGGGGGGTATACAGAAGATAGCCCTATTTGGTAAAAGACCAAGTCCATATTATGGCAAGAACAGCTCAAATAAGCAAAGAGAAACGACAGTCCATCATTACATTAAGACAGGAAGGTCAGTCAATCCGGAAAATGTCAAGAACTTTGAAAGTTTCTTCAAGTGCAGTCACAAAAACCATCAAGCGCTATGATGAAACTGGCTCTCTTGAGGACCTCCAAAGGAATGGAAGACCCAGAGTTACCTCTGCTGCAGAGGATAAGTTCATTAGAGATACCAGCCTCAAAAATTGCAGCCAAAATAAATGCTTCATAGAGTTCAAGTCACAGACACATCTCAACATCAACTGTTCAGAGGGGACTGTGTGCATCAGGCCTTCATGATCGAATTGCTGCAAAGAAACCACTACTAAAGGACACCAATAAGAAGAAGAGACCTGCTTGGGCCAAGAAACACGAGCAATGGACATTAGACCAGTGGAAATGTGTCCATTAGTTTGGAGACCAAATTGGAGATTTTTGTTTTCCAACCGCCGTGTCTTTGTGAGACGCGGTGTGGGTAAACGGATGATCTCCGCATGTGTAGTTCCCACCGTAAAGCATGGAGGAGGAGGTGCGATGGTGTGGGGGTGCTTTGCTGGTGACACTGTCTGTGATTTAACCAGCATGGCTACCACAGCATTCTGCAGCAATACGCCATCCCATCTGGTTTGCGCTTAGTGGGACTACGATTTGTTTTTCAACAAGACAATGACCCAACACACCTCCAGGCTGTGTAAGGGCTATTTGACCAAGAAGGAGAGTGATGGAGTGCTGCATCAGATGACCTGGCCTCCGCAATCCCCCGACCTCAACCTAATTGGGATGGTTTGGGATGAGTCGGACTGCAGAGTGAATGAAAAGCAGCCAACAA